AGGACCATCTCCGCCGCCGGAGCTGCCGTCCTTTCTGCTATAGTCGTCAACCCTCTTGATGTCGCGAAGGTATCTTCTTTCTTTTATAGAGCTTGTTTGAAACTTAATGTTACATTTTGGACTTAGTCCGATAGCTCAACATATCATTTATGTTTGTGTTGAGAATGTGGGGATTACTGGTATGTTAAACCCAGCATCAATTCCCTTTTGATTCAATACTCATAACAGAGACACATGTGATGAATAAACTGATTGATTATCTGCTTTATTAAGATTAATTTTAAGTAAGATTTCTCTTCTCTGTGTTCCAATTCCTTCTTTTCTAGCATAGTTACAATGTAGGATCCAGAAGGTACGGAATTTGATTCATATTTTCACATGTTGATTTGTTTTAATGTGAATGCCGCTGTGGAATTAGTATTTCAAGTGAGAGAAGGCGAAGGAGTTTATTTAAAATTTTGGAGGGTGAAAATTCTATAATATACATGATACGAGAATTTAAGGATAAAATTTTTGAAGAAAAGATAATTCTATAGGATTTCTCAAATCTATGCCCCCAATCACGCTGAACCCGCCACTGTTTATAATCCATTTGGAAACTAATTTGCCGCTTACGATAAGTACATGTAGGAGCAATTTGTCCATATCACCTATACTTGTTAGTGCCGGAGTTGCGGACTAGTAAAAAAATACCCATTGGATAATGTTTCTTTGTCTTGATTTTTGTCCTTGATAAGATGTTGAACCTTGCTGGGGCCATGCTAGCAGTTGTGCTGTCTGGTAATCATGTTATTGTTGTATATGCAAGGGGTGAACCAAGAAGAGCTCAGGGTGAGCAAACCCTGAAATCTTTTTTTTTTTTTCCCTTAAAAAAATTAAATATTTTAACTATTTTGCCCACCTTCAATAAATATAGTTGCCCACATACTAAGAGAAAGTTTTTTTTCCTATTTTTTATGTAAGATTATGCATTTTAGAATCCTATTCTGCCAACCCTCAAAAGAAATGTTGATTCTGCTCCAACGTATATGTGATACGGAATGATGAAGTACAAGCATAAAAACATATTTTAGATTTTCTAAATTATTATAAGATTTTATGGCATGATTGGGATTATTTTTTATATTCTTTATTTATTTATTTATTTTTTTCTTCCATATCACTTAGCTACTTGCACCTTGTTTTCCCATTTCGATTGTCTTTAACAAGTTCAGCTTATTATTGTTCGAATTCACCAAACTGTGTCAGCAGTTTTATAGCAGGAGTATGATATTGATAATTTACAACTATATAAACTTATTCTTTTATGTTTATTATATATATCTATCATTGACTTGCATGCATCCTTAAGTATCCACTTTTGTAAGCATGAGTCTCCATTGGGAGCTTTTAGGGGATGAACAAACCCTTCTTAATTTGAGATTCTTCTTCCTCTTCCCCTCCTCTCAATCCTTCATTTCATTTGATATGTTGAGCTTAAAATCACCTTTTATCCCTATGACCCACCAGGGTCTTATCAATGTCCTGAATGTGTTATCCTTTTTTTTTTTCATCTTATGACTGAGTTGCTCACTACAGACAAGGCTACAGGCACAAGCTGCTGGAGTTCCGTATCATCCTACAAGGAATTGTACTGGAGGGCATATGGCTTCTCGAAACACTAACTTGGTATGTTGCATGATGTACCTTATATGTTGTTGGAATTAGTTTTTTCATGAGAGTAACTGTAGAATAGAATTGGGAAAGACTTTTACGATGCTGCAATATGATGATTTTCTTCCAAAAAAAACTCAAGAATGAAATAAAAAAGACCTAGCTGGTCTATTCGAGTTGAATTATTTATACACATTTTTTCAAGGCATCGTAGGTGTAAGTTATTATTTTGTGCACACACATGATGTTTGTTTCGTCTCGTGCCAATGAATTCATTTTTATTTAACACTTGCTATGATTTTCTTTATGTAAACTTTAGACATGATTGTCTATGTGAGAAAACATACACATTATTATATTTTTTATCACAACAATGACGTCAAGTCTTTATCCCAGTATGTTGGGTCAACTATATGAATCTTTTTTTTTTCCATTGCCCTATGCAGAGTCAAATTCTCATTTAAATCTAATAAAAAAAATGTCATTTCTAATATTTTCTAATCAAGTTGTTTTAGATTTACCTCTACTTTTATTTAACATAGGTTGGATTTAGTACATCTACTCTTCAATCAGGTTATTGGAATGCCTATATTTTATATGACCAAATCATCTAAGATGACTCCCTCTAATCTTATCTTCTATTGGAGCTACTCTAACCTTTTCATGTATATACTCATTTCACATTTTGTCTCTAAGTATAAAGTCACTCATCAACTCGAGCATCCTCATCTCTGCAACACTTAACCTTAATTTTATGCTTCTTTTTTAATGGCCAACATTCTGCGACATAAAATATTTGGTTACAACCTCACATTTAAAAAGATTGGCCTATTAATTGGATAAGAGAGGCGTATTTTATAAAAAATAGCACTTCGTGTATCTCTATAATGTATTATTTTCTCAATATTTCCTTGAACTCATGCATGTCTTTGTTTTGTTGTTATTTTTCAACCTTCATTTCTCCCATTTCGTACCCTTTTGTTAAATCCATTGAAAAGTTATGAGGGAAGTCTACTATCTTCATGGTCCTTTTTTTTTCCTGAAAGTTATATTTTTCTACACGATATATCTAGTTTGGAATTAATTTTGTTGGATTATGGTGTCCAGATGTTCTCAAATTTCAGGTGTCCTCCTTCACGTACTTGTGAATGTTTATTAACAGCTGAAACAGCTTCACTTCCTGAATGTTCTCGGTATAAAGGCACATTTGATGTGCTATTCAAAGTAATCAGACAAGTAGGTGTTTGAAACTATGAGATATTTATCTTGTAAAGAATATGCAAATACTGTTGCTTCATCATATCTGTTTTTTTCCAGGAAGGCTATGCGAGGTTGTGGAGGGGAACAAATGCAAGCCTTGCACTGGCTATACCAACAGTAAGTTTGTATATTGACAGAGATAGCATGGCGTCACTTTTGATGTCAGTTAACATCCTGTTCATCAACTGCTTTAATTTTATTGGTGACATCTTAAATATTAATATTGTAACTTTTATGACATTCTTTTGTAAGGCGACACTGCTTTGACTAATTGTTAACTTCTCTAGCCTTGTGAAAGATGAAATGAAGGCTTATGAAGTCCAAAAATTGCTTAGCAGTGATGCATGAAAGATGATAATGGAATGTCAAATGGTTTATGTATTAACCTATGTAGAATTTCATTAAAACAGTCATTTATATTGCTCCAAACACTACAATAGCATCAAGTCTTTAACCCACCATGTGAGATTAGCTACATGAATCTTTTTTCTTCATTGTTTCCTGATAAGAGTCAAATTCTCATTTAAATCTAATTAAAAAAGATCATTTCTAATATTTTCTAACCAAATTTTTTTAGGTCTACATCTACCTCTCTTTTAACATGGGCCAAATCTAATACATCTACTCTCCTAAACATGTCATTAGAAGGCTGACATTTTATGTGACTAAATCATCCAAGGCGACTCTCTCTAATCTTATCTACTGCTGAAGCTACTCTAACCTTTTCACGTATATGCTTGTTTCGCATTTTATCTCTAAGAGTAAAGCCACTCATCCACTTGAGCATCCTCATCTATGTAACACTTAACTTAATTGTATGCTTCTCTTTTAATGGCCAACATCATGCACCATAAAGCATTGCAGGTCTCATCACCATCTTATAAAATTTTTCCTTAAGTTTGAGAGATATTTTTCTATCACACCATAGGCCCGATGCATTCCTCCACTTCAACCATCCAACATGAATTCTACTAATAATATCTCAATTTATTTTACTATCGCTCTGGACAACAGATCCGATATATCTAAAACGTGTACTCTTATTAACAATTTGATCTCCCAAAGCTACAATCCCCCCGTTAAAACTATTACTACTAAAAATGTTGCTCCAGACACAGACAAAGAAAAATTGAATCCATCAGATTAAGCATTATACTTGATAATAGAGAATTATAGTATAAGAAATAAAATTATGTTTTTTCCGTTTTCCAGGTGAAGTTTGATAATGCTTCGGTGTTTAGGCCGTTCTTATTATTTTTTAGGAGTTTTAACTGTTTTCATTTTTAGGTTCTTCTCTGTAGAATATTCATCTTTGCCTGCCTTTATTGATTTTTGGCTTCTTGACAGGTGGGAATATACTTACCATGTTATGACATATTCCGAAACTGGTTTGAAGAATTTGCTGCTAAAAGTTCTCCTCATTTGACTCCATATGCTCCCCTGATTGCTGGCTCAGCTGCTCGCTCATTAGCTTGTATAGTTTGCTCTCCTATTGAGCTGGCAAGGACACGAATGCAGGTAACTCTATCGTGTTCCTCCACCAGGATTTCCTACTTTAATGTGAACTATTCCGGCTACTTTTTTATCTGCTAGTTTCTATTGAGGAAACAATTTTCAGAAGTCAGCTATTTCATGTTCTAAACCTGTAAAAACGTAGGTTTGTTGAATGGTGTCAGGTTCATCCAAGTGGCATCTTAATAGGGCTAAATTAGGCCTTTGGATCATTTCAAGCCATGGAGATGAAACTAAAGAACTGTTAAATAATAGTTAAGGGGAACTGTACCGTCTGATTTCAGTCTCAAAGACATAATAAATCACAAGCATTGATAGAATAGTCCTATGGAGTCCAAACTCTCCATCTAATAAAAAGAATTTTATGGAGTCACACTCACTTCATGTAATCAAAATAGTTCTTAAAATAAGAGAGAGAAAGGAGCAAGGAGAGCTAGGATCTCTTCATCAATGAACAGAAGAGGGAAATGAAAGTTCAAAAAATTTCCTGGGTTTTTACCTACTTAGGCAGGCAGACTAATTGGTAACTTTTCAAGCTTTTGGATTATGTCAGGTTGTTTTCATTGATGCAGTTTTCAAATTAGTTCTGGATACGTGCAGCCTATATGTTTCCCTGTTTTTGATAATAGGCATTCAGGGAGCTTCAAAGAGGAGAAAAGCCTTCAGGAGTTTGGAAAACTTTACTTGGCGTTCTATCACCGACTGGAAGTACAAAATATCCACAAAACTGTGCGTACTTCCTTTTATTTCATGGATAAAAAAGGATAAATTATCAAAATACCCTAATAAATGCTGAAACTCACCATTTCATCCAGGAAAAGTTTACATATTTCCCTATTACACTCCTAGGACCAATTGAAAGGCTCTCTTCCTCTAACTTAAGCTTCGTTTGGGATGACTTTCTTGCTGCTGCTTAAAATGGCTTTTGAGTACTAAAATTTTTGTACTATAAGCAATGAAAAAGGCGTCCCAAACGAAGGCTTAAGTTTACTAAACTAATATTAGCTGATTTATAAGCAGGATGCATCTGTATTATTTTCCATCACCATTTCAACAAATCTATCTTTTAAAGAACGTAAAGGTTACAGAATTAGTATTGCAAACAGTTGGCGGGTATCGTGTCCTTTGGATGGGTGTTGGGGCTCAGATTGCTCGTGATGTTCCATTTTCTGCCATCTGCTGGTCCACTCTTGAGCCGGTCAGGTCTTGGTTACAGTATTCTATTTGCACCTTTCTGTTTTCTTTGCTTATATATGTATATATTATATTGGGTGCTATGCATTCTTTGCAAATCAGATCCGGAGAAGCTTACTTGGGCTAGTTGAGGAGGAAGGCAGTCCAATTGCCATTTTTGGAGCCAACTTCACAGCAGGTTTTGTTGCTGGCAGCCTTGCAGCGGCGGCTACATGCCCTCTTGACGTGGCTAAAACTAGAAGACAGATAGAGGTTTTTTCCCTAAACTTTGAGTATTTTTATGTTGTTTTTAGCTACTATTAATCACCTTTAGTACTTCATCTTCTTCGGCTTCGTTTGGGATTATTTTTTTACTGCTTCTTAAAACGATTTTTTTTTTATAATTTTTTTACTAAAAAGCCGCGTTAAGAACCGTCCCAAACGAAGCCTGCATCTCCATTATTTGGATTTTTGCATCCGATTTTTAAAGCTTTTTTATGGGTTGCTGCAAGTAATTTACTGATAAATTGTTAAGTTTCATTTTAAGCTGCACAAAAATTGGCTCATCGATTGCCATCAATTACTAAAATTTAAATGATTTGCAGAAGGATCCGACTAGAGCACAGAAAAGCAATACGTGGAGAACTCTATCGGATGTTTGGAGGTATGCAATCTTAAATGTTCATAGTGTTAAATGCATCTGCTATATGAATTTTTCTCCATCTCAAAATTATGTCAATGAATGGCAAGATCAATATTCCATCTTGCAGGCTTCCAAGCCTTTTCCTAGCGGTTCCTTTATCCAAGAGAATATATAAAATCAATTTAGTATCAAACTGATACGCCTAGACCGGTCCGGGAGGGATCGGTCCAGCCGGCCTAACCCTTGGGCCGGCTCCACAACTTTGCTTGCTAACCCACAGGCACAATTGGCCGCCCCCTTGGGGGTGGGGTCCACAACTTAGGGAAGAGAGAGAGGGCTGTTTAGTCCTTTTGGTTATTTTTTATGTTTGTTTTAATTAGGAGTTCGCATTAGGGCTAGGACATGCAAAAATTATTATAGTTGGTGTCTTGGTCTCTAGCGGTGTCTAGGGATTGCAAGATGTAGATTCTCCTCTCGAATTGAGGATCGACTGTATCTTGGTATTCTCCTTCCGTTATCTTGATTATTGCAATAAAAACTTCTATTTTTGTAATTTTTCATTGGAGTTGTGGATATTTCCCGCTGTTTTTGTCAACGTTGTTAGGTTTTACTTGAGATCTTCAAGTATTTCCTAACATAAACCTTGACGTGGAACATGTTAAGAGTTCATGAAATTTTGATTATTTTCGAATTTATTCATCACAATGAATATATGTTGTTGGTGTGGTTTGTGCTTAGGTGCATATGATTGCAACTTGTCCTCTTGCACCATATATGATAGAATCATTTCTTTTATTACTAGATAATATAACCATTCCACCTTGATATCCATGAAGCTCACTATGTCAATTACCTCACTGCAGGAGTGGCGGGTTGAGAGGATTGTTCACTGGAGTTGGCCCTAGGGTTGGAAGAGCCGGCCCATCCGTTGGAATTGTTGTTTCCTTTTATGAGGTGGTTAAGCACATTTTGCATCAAAGACATAAAAACTCTCCAGAAGTCATAGCTTAGCATTATTTTTTACAATTCTTCTAAGGCTTCGTTTGAGGCGGCTTTTTTAATCTTTGTTCTAGAAAGCTGTTTTAAAAAACAGTGAAAAAACCGTCCCAAACGAAGCCTAAGACGCAGATTCTGCTCCAGTTGGTTAATGAATTGACTGATCACAAAATGGATGGATCCTTCTCTCAACATCAATTAGGTTTCATTCAAGAGTTTTGACTGATTTATTTCATTCATTTTTACAGCAAATTGTATTTGTGACCTGACTAATTTTCTTCATTAATTTAAAAGCTGATCATTTTATGAGGATTCTTTGGAGTTGTTATGATGAAAGGGAATTCTTTGTTTGTGTGGATTTTTAGACTGAAATATTTAGAAATTTGTCTTGTAAGATTACTAAGGTTTCATCTGGGATAATTTTTAATTGCTTTCTAAAGCAGCTTTCTAGTACAAAAATTCTTAGTTCAAGAAGCTTTTTTACTAAAAACTGTTTTAGAAAGTAGCAAAAAAATTATCTCAAACAAAAACTACTAGATGGTTTCAAGCTGTCAACATATATGTAAATGAACTGAATAATTCCTTTTTATTAGGATTGAGTGGTTTCAAGCTTTCAACATATATGAGATTTTCTGTGTTGCAATTAGGGAAGCGTTCGACGAGCTACTCGTTGTTCGGTTCGATTAAAGCTCGTTTGTGATCGTTTAATTAACTAAACAAACAAACTTGAACAATATTTTAAATACTCGATTTTTAAATAAACAAACTTGAACACTAATGCGTTCGGCTCATTTATGTTCTGATGTAATCATTTATTAGGAAGCTCGATAAAGCTCGTTTGTTAAGTTAATGAACATCTAAAAGTAGAGCTCATTTATAGCTCATTCATGCTTGTTTGTTTAAAGCTCGATAAGCATTAAACGAACCGAACATGAACTGAACATGAACTGAACATGAACACTCATTAATTTAAATGAACCAAACATGAACACAAATAATAAAGCTCGAACAAACATGAACCAAACTTGAACAAGTTGATATTAAATGAACACAAACATGAACACTCACATACTCGGCTCGGTTCATTTGCAGCCCTAGTTGCAATTATATGATCTGTATAGTGAATAGGAAACTTTTAAGGTATTACCATGGAATTATTTGTCAACATTAAGCAATTTTATTGTTGTAGAAGAATGTTGATGTAAGGGCTTTCTTTACATCATGAATTAGATCTTGTGGTTGTAAGATCTAAATTGTGAAAATCTTATACAGTTGAGTTCTATGTGTATATGTGAGCCAAGTGGGGGCTAAAATAAAAAAGAATATTTGTCTCTTAGTTAGATTTTTTTTCTTGTAGCCAAACTTGAAGTTTTGTATGCCATTGTGATGATTCATGTGATAAATGATCTACTTATATTGTATATATTAAAATCAACATAAAATGTGTTTAAAAGTTAATTGCCCTGTTTTATACAAATAAACCAAGCCAAAAGCTTGTTTAACAAAAACCTATTTGAGCTTGATTTTAAGCTCGATTCAAGTATTTATAATAGTGTTGAAGCATAGTTCATTTTAAATTATGATTGTTTGAGATTGATTTGAGCTCGGCTCATTAACTAATTAATTAACCTTTATTGAGCCTATTAATGAACAATCCTATTGAATAGCATGTTAGTTTAATGAATGTGCATTATCAAGTACATATTAATAAAAACTCTATTGAAATTAAATGAGTACTAACTAAATAAGTAATTTAAATTTAAACGAGAATTTGACTTTTAACAGATCACAATAGAGAAAAATAATTCATGTAGTCGACATCATGTAATGGGACAAAGGCTTGATGTTGTTGTTGTATACTAGTCAAATCTTATGACTTCAGTATTGCTCGGAAGTCGCAACAATAAATTTGATGTCTTGGTGTTTGAATCTCATCATTCAAATGAGTCTAATGAAAGAATAGAACACCATTTTCTTGGGATGGAAGAGAAATTGAACTATTTCAGATTGGAAGTTTAGGCTTGATTTAGCTAACATAGCAGCATTACAAAAGACTTAGCAAAGAAGAAACAATCCATCAAAATGTTCAAATCAGCAGCCATAACAAATCCAAATAACCATACATAATAAGCATTTCAACACCATCATCTTCCTCGATAGAGTCTTTTACCTTAACTGCCAATCCAAAGGATGGATAAGGTAGGTAAGAACTAAGGCCACCAGCATCAGAATGTAAGCAATCCCTTGGTCAATAGATGTTCCTGCAAAGCACAAATAAATCATTTCACTTGAGGACTTCAACAATAAAATGATGAATAATAGTCAAACTGATTTGATTTTGAGTCGATCCAATATCAGATCAAAACAAGTCATAATGGCCGCCAGTAGTGAACTGAATGGGTTAACCTCGGTACACCCAAAGAAGCGTCTCTGTGGGCTCCAACACTACCCATAGATGCCACAGTCTTACCTTTGTTACACCAACAACCAACCTATGATGCACCGACATTCTACTCAAAAAGGCGTGCAGTGTCCGAAACGACACGCGTTTGGCACACCTTTGACACATGTGGGACACATATAAATTGGACACGCGTGTCATAAATCATTTATGAATTCTTTTAAAAATATAATTTTTTATATTTAAAATTTTTATTTATTTTAAATATAAAAATTAAATTTCTTATTTTCAATCCACAACACCAAATCAATCACTCGCACTCAAGATTCAATTCATTGAATATTCTCATTTTCATTTCTCTTTGACGGTCGCGACTTTGGTTTCACAAAAATGTCAGATGTCATCTCAACATCGACGTCTGACGTCATTACAACATCGATATTTCAAAATCATCTCAACATCAAAATCTAACATTGTCTTATCATTGATGCTCAACGTTAACAATTTCTATATTGACAACTTCACAGCTCATCTTTGTCTGACGTCATTTAAACACGGACGACCAATTCCCTATCAACATCGATGACAGACGCCTTTTTGACATCGACGCCCAATACTTACTGCATAGCATCGATGCCTGACTCTCGACATCCTAATATTAATCATTTTAAACACAAATTATAGTTAAATGACTAATTATTTCTAAATTATTACAAAGATATGGATTTATGTATCTGGGTTAGATACGTGGTTTTACCCTGGGGCTTGTTTTCTACAAAATAATTCATTTCCTCAACGGTGTGACCACTTTATAATTCCAAAGCTAAGATAAGCATAAAATTCTTACTCTCTCTAATTACAGGAATCTCTTTTTATACACAACCCCCTACAGAAAATTGTCTTGATCACGCCTTCTCGCTATAATTCACTTAACTAACTTATTAAAAACAAAGAAAAGTTGCCCTTCAACTAATTGAAGGAAGACATAAACATGATACTGTAGCCAAATAAATCAATGACAACCCTAGTTAAGTAGCTGCAACTGCCACTTGAGCTTGAGAGGAGGCAACTGGAAGATTGTATACAATTGAGACCACCTAACTGAGTGGGAGCACGCATGGGAGGAGCTCATCATGGCAAATCAAAAGGTTATTGTTGCCCCTTTAGGGTGCCAATCAATCCTATTAAAGATGGTTTGATGACAGTCAAACTTCCTCCATAATTATTCGTAATCTTATGCATGCTAAGATAGAGATATGCCGCTTTTCTGACTACCCTTGAATGACACCATTGACCTTCATTTGTTGTGATTGTCAATAAATAATCCCAACCGCCAACCGGACCAGGACCCAACCCAAACCCGACCGAAAAAAATCAATAGTCAAGCTAACCCATTTAATAATCAAGTTGGGTCTAGGTATGGAATTCTAGCCCATTTAATTGGCGACATGGTTAGGTTGACTCTCAAACCCAATTTTGACCTAAAACTGATCCATTTAATTTTTTTCCTTAGATTCTTTTGCTTGTTAGTATGCACTTCTAATTTTATATGAATTAATCTAGGACCTGCAGCTGAAAATTCATAATTTTTTTTAATTGAAAAAGGTCATCAAGTTGGTTTCAAGGCATTCAAGTTGAAATCAGGTCAAGTTTGGGTTCATCTTTTTTACTCGTTTATTAAACTGGTCAAGTTTGAATTAACTGGATTCAAATCAATTCAATTTCAGATAGACCTAAACTCAAACCGTTAACAAATTTTGACACCCTTATTGTGATCATTGAACCACAAAGCTAGTTCCACTACACCACACACCATTGCAAAGTTTGGGTGGCCACAACCAAATCACATAGCTACTAGTAGCACTATGAGTTAATACCACAACTGCTATACCACCTAAACTATCGTCACTAACTGTACACACCATTAAAGCTATCAAATGCTAAACCTCAGAAAGTAGACTTGGAGCAAAAGACGAGGAAAAAAAAGCTAAACAATAATAATGTGGATAAGTAAAAAAAAAATCATCATATTATCATTATCTTTATCCCAGCCACTTGTCTTTAACTTCATGAATAATGAACCTTCTCAATTCTTCCCACTAAGTGCATCTAGCATTAACTCTAATTTACATTTTGTTTTGCAAAATTTTGTTAACTCTGTTGCAACAATCAATCCCTTTTTCTTCACATTTCTTTCATACTAATTAATATCTATGTTATCCTTACCTTTAGATGTATACATAAAGAAAATATAATTTCTACTATCTTATCTTCCATTAGTGTTACTCTCATCCACTAGTTATATAAATATTCCTGAATGTATATCTTTTAGTATTGCATTACATTCATCGTAATATTCTCACTTTGTTTACAACAAATCAATGAATTCTTCATTTCCTCACTTGAATCAAGATTAGCATCTTCAATCCAAAGAAATAAACATTGTTTAG